AATTTAATTCTGCTGCCTGTCACTGTCGCATAGACAAAAGAAGACAAATGATTTATGTAAATAAACAATACTTTGCAGACTAATTAAGAAAATTGAATAATTTTCCACGGTCGATGATCTCTCATTGCACGCTAATGTGCCGCAGGAATCACCTCCGTAGGGGATATTTAACCACAATAAGCCACTTCTCTAATCTAACATAGTGCACCTGTAAATGAAATGCGGGGCTAACAGCCAGACGTGGTTGGATATTAAGATTTAAAAACAATTGTTTTTTTACTTTGTGTTTATTGATGATGATGTTTTGTTACCATGAAACAAAAAGACAGTTGGGCTCAATTCAAGGAACGGCTTTAATTAAATGTAAAATGAAGGATGAAAAATCTATTTTCTAATGCCTCGCTGGCTGTCACTATGTTACCGAGTCTCCAAGGAACAGCAGGGTGACATATTAACTCATGAAAAATGAACACATGAGACTTAAGGCTAAAAAAAAAAAAAAAAAATAACAGTACTGCTTTCTCAGCGCTCACTTGTGGTGTTTGTGTTGTGTGTGTTTTTGTCATGTAGCTGCGAGTTGTGCAGCTACATGACATGAATTGTGCACGCACAGCCAGTCTAACAGTCAGTTTAATGTTGCTCTGTGTAGTGTTTTGGTTGGTAAAGCTTCAGAAGTCTCTGCTGCCTTGCATGTTGTTTGATGAAATATACATGACACTGGCAGATTCCCAAACCGCTCACATGATCGCAGAATGAAATGTGTTAGACTGTGAGTTTTACATCTTGTTACTGCTGTAACCACTTCTGGGTAAATACTCACTAATAACTGAGTCACTTTGTCTTTCAGGTTTGCCGTAGTTTATATATGAAGGAGCAGCTGTGCTATTTCTGCTGCCCTTTCGCCACCACTCATGTAAACAAAATGTTATCTCTCCCTTTTGAAATCAAGCAACCCCGTCCAATCGGATTGTTGTTCAAGCCCCCCCGTCGCCTCCTTACCATATGTCTCCCAGTCTTATTACGCCTTGGGAACACTCCCTGACAGGCATCATTGATCTCAGCCAGCTTAGAGCGATGCCATGAAAGTGTTCATTGGCAGCTGATGACAGCTTTATTAGAAAAGGAGGACATAGCAGATCAGCAAGTTTTCCCTCATCAAGAAGCCCAAAGGGAGTGAACTGTGGCTAGAGCTCATTGCAGTTGTTTAACAATCAATTCAGTGTCCTTTTTCTGAAGACATCAATTTGTTTTGTACACTGAAGATAGTGCAGTTGAGCCCCGGGTTTTAATTGCAGGTAGAACGTCTTTCAGTCAAAAACTGTCTATGTCGAGTTTTTTATTTTTTATTTCCCGTCCTTGGCGATTTTAAATTTCATATTAAGAGATCTGGAGAAAAGTAACATGGAAAAATTTTTTTTTTTCTTTCTTCTACAGTACATCATTTTCTTCCTTGATTCGGGGTAAGCTGAGATCGTGCTCTTATGACATCTGGTTTGGAGTAGTTTGGGAGACTGCTAATCAAGATACTAACAGGTCTACTGGCAAGATGTGAAGCAGGTGGCACATGACCAAGCTGTAAGAGATTCCACCCCGCTGATGAATGCTCCGCCACATACATCAGAGGTGAGAGCGTGCGTTGTGTCATGTTAAATATGCGGATATTACACCTTGACCCGTTGAACTCATAAATATTCATCAGGATTTCTTCCATTATATGTGTGCATGTGTGAGAATGGGATTCAGAGTGTGCCCAGATATCACAGTGGTGTTGTGAAGGAAAATGCTGTACAGCACTAGAGTGGAGTGCAGCAGAGGGAAGAAGAGGACAGCACCTACATAATGAGGCTAATATACTGCAGCACGGTGATTTTACTCTCTCCCTTATTTTCCACAAGCATTAATTCAATCCGGGAGAATGGGACACAGTGGCCTATCTGCAAGTATGAGGCTCATGTTGAAGTACTAAATGTCACCGTCAGTGGTTGACATGATTTATCTACGTCACCTCACTCTACAGTGGTGGGTTTGTTTTTTTTTGTGTGTGTGACATTTATCTGGAGGCTTCGCAGAGTTCTGTATGGAAGTGTTTGACGGCTTGTGGGTCGTAGTTTGAGTCACATATGGTCACACTCTGTTGTCAAGCAGTGTTGCTATGTTCATAACCGGTCCACACTTCCATTGTCCATTGTACACTGTCCTCCATTGTAAAAAGTCAAATAACTAGTGTTAACAGTTAGAATCTGCATTGCCCTACACCAGTGTCACTGACCGTGGTGCTGAAATCGGAAAGAAGGAAAATGTAACCAAGGGGCTGCTCTTCCACAATTATTATTCAATAAACATTAATGGCAGCATGGAAATGTTAAACTGTATCAACATATCAAGCTAAAACAAGCTGAGTTAAATTATAAATTAATAATACTGTGAAAACGTAGCATGATTATATATTAGCTGGAGAGGGTTAAGTCTATTTCTTAGATGTAAGAAACCCTGCTTTTAGTATAAAACCGTGGCTGACACTTTGTGAAAGGATGAAGCCGTCACGTGGTTTTTGTTTTAACAAAATGTTAGAGGCGACAGGCTTTGAAATATGTGTTTTTACAGAAATAAACCAACCACAGAGTGTGCGTTCTGCTTCTTGGACTTGCATTACTCCCCCTGTCTGCCATGTTATAACTGAGGAGATTACCGTTTTGTTTTGCACTCCTATTTATTCTGGGTGAATTTCACACAATAATACTTAAAGTGCCTCATGGACCAACTCAGTTCAGCTGCATGATCTTAGCAGTGGAGCACCGAGGCTTAGTCTGCGCAGATGTATTTCTGCCAGCAAAAGTATTGATCTGTGCTAGTAATTCTTGCGTCACCTGATACAACATCTTCAAGGAAATGAAGACATGACTATACTTATCATGTTATCATTGACGACTGCCTGTTAAAAGCCCTAATGACTTCACTGGTAGGTGTATGGAGCTCTCCATCAGGAAAATGAGAAAATCTAAGTCGTAGGGGCCAAACTAGTTTCCAATCATGTAATAAAACACTCTCTGTCATGAAATGGCCAGAAGGCTTATTGAAAACAATTCTTTATTTCCTCCCTCCCTCTCTCTCTCTCTCTCCCTCCCCCTCCGTCTGTTTCTTCCCTCTTCTTCCATTCACTCACTCACTCACTCACCAACTCACTCCCTGTCTTTCTACTCTGACCCATTTACAGTAACTGTCTACGTAAAGTGCTTGACATGATGGTGAATGCAAATGGGCCATTTACACTCACATAAATGTCACTGCTTATACATTGTTTTTTGCTATAGATTAGCCTTACCCCTACAACAAGAAGATATTACACTATAGCCACAACATACAGTATATAAATGTACTATAGGATGCTTTGGGTTTGGGACTGTAATGCATCACACCCCCGATGCTGCATAATTTGAGAAGATCGTTGTCCCTCTAAAACTTGTTGTTGCAGCTGCTGTGTTAGTACAGATCTTAAGTTTTTGCTTCTTTGACAGTGCACCAACCTTTGTGAAAATGGGTAATACAGTACATTTTTTTGTCTCCTATAGTCCCCCCGGTTCTCTGGCTCCTCCCTGAGCAATGGAGAGGAGCAGTCAAGGATCCTGTGGACCAATCGGTTGGCGGTGATGTTTCAGTGGGAGCACTGCCTGTTAACCAGTACGTGTGTGTAAGAGAGAAATAGAGAGAGAGAGAGAGAGAGAGAGAGGGAGAGAGAGCCTTCCACTGCTGTATCTCCATCCTGCATCCTCCATAAACACTGCGACCGAAGAGCTGCGGAATAGGCGTGTTGCTCCTGTTACTCCAGCCAACATCACGTCCAGGGACCGCGTGAAAACTGCACGGAGCCAAGGTAAGAAGCTGGCTGATGGGATGCAGGAGAGGATGTGGGTGCAGGTACAGCCGCGCTGCTCGTCACGTGGCTCTTTAATTGCCTTGCGTCTGTGGGTGATAAAGACTAGTTTATCGGTTTTTGCACTGGCGCAGTCTCCCTGCGAACATCAGACCCTGGTCGGTTTGCAGTCAGAGTAGCTCCAGGCTGTGTCAACTTGACACACGCACACTGTGAAACACCGAATCACGGGTCTGTCCGCGGTCGGCAGTTTAAGAAATTCAAGCTACAGTCGAGTTGCATTTGTGCGTAAATGTTGGCTGACCGTGAGAGCGCGCTGGTGTGTCCCGGAGAGGAACCCGCGGCAGCCGCACAACTACAGCATCTGCACTGCAAGGCAGAGGTGCACAGAGGTTTGATTCATCACGGTGTGACTCTTGGGACAGTGAGGAGATGATTCCAGCGGACCACCCTGGCTCAGGATTCTTTAGAGGGTCGTCCAGGGTGCTGCACATACACAATTCTGCCAGTGCGCACATGAACGTCGCACCTCCAGAGCTGCTCCTTTGAATGATTGCGACCATTCTGCTCCTGTAATATCTTGTGTTTTATGATGGATCGTCTGTCACTGCCCTTTTCCATTTCCAACAGATGAGCCGCTGCAACACACTCCATTCTCCGCCGCTGCCGCCTTATATCCCATGACAATATTAGGTCCCAAACCTTTACAGGGTCCCGAGTAAGATTTTATACCCCCGCCCCCATCCCCCTCCACTTCCCTGCTTTGCCCTGCTCCGCACTACCATAAATACACCCAACACTGCCGTTACCAGCTTTATTATTCTGTGCTCCTCTGACAGAAACTGTTTGTGTGATGGTTGTACTATATAATGAGCACGGCCACTAGAGGGCTCTTTGGTGCTATCTTGTGCCCATAGGGGTTCTGAGCAGATGTTTTGTTTGTGTAGTTCACGTTCACTTAAGGTAGTAATGATACTCGACCTTTTGATCAGTTGGTTGTTTGGTTGTTAGTGTTGTTCACTGGTAGTAACTGGTTGCTCAAACGGCCCTCTCATGAATTCATATTTGTCACCAAGACTTTGTAGTTTGAAGTTTAAATGTTTCATTAAGAAAGGAATTTTATATATATATATATATATATAATTGTGCTGTGTGCAATGCCAATGAGTGCCGTGCTTGGAAGCTGTCCCAGGTGGCGCTACCTGCCCTTGGATAGGAAACAAGACAGGTGAACAAGTGCAGGCTGCCCCACAGAGCTAGGCCAAAGATGTAATGTACTGTACACCAATATACTACAAATATTTATATTCCTTATACTATGTTTAAAGATATAATATTGACTTCTAAATGGATGAAGCAGCCCCAGTGTTGCTGTATCTTCTGTGCCTTTTTACTTTCCAAAAGGTTTGACAGAGACCAGACAGTGAAGTGCAATCGATCGAGTAGGCTCTCCACTGGAAACCTGCTCTCGTTACAACACTTGTCAGTGAGCAGGGCAGACTTGACAGAAAAACCAAGACGATGGAGGCAGACATTAGATTATGACACCTTGTAAAGTACACACAGACTCTTGTATTTGAGTCGGTTGACTTGAGGTTTCAACGACTGAAAGACATGACCCTGGATGGTTAACTCTCCACATTATGAGCTGATACTGTCTGAATTTCGGTCAGGTTTCGGAGGCATTTGGAGCCAAATTAAAGATTTGTTTCATTCATTTGAATGTAATATTATATATAACACGTATAATATGTTATAAATCCCCATGCCTCTGCATCCAGGCTCTGTCCAGGGTCTGTTTTCCACCAATGCTCATTTTCGTGCATGGGAACAGCTAGCATTTACCCTAGTATTTCTTTTCAGCACCACATCAGGGGCTCAGTAACGATGCTCAATCTTCCATGAAGCTGAAGCGTTTACTGTGACTTCCATGTACGGTCCCTGCACACAATGTTCTCTCAGGGGAAAAGCCTCGCGACATCTTTATAAATCATGATAAAGCACAGGAAGATAACAAACAGCGGAGTGCATTAGTTCAGCTTAAGTCTGTTTGTTAGTCAATTGAACATCAAGCAGTGGAAGCACGATCTCTAGTACGGGAAAGTTGACACTTGAGTTTATGTCGTGTGAGTGTTTGTTTAGTGCAGCAGGTTGTGTTGGTGATGAGAAGAGAAATGGTCCGTCAGGTGACAGGGATGGAATTGACTGATTTAAAAAAAATGGCATTAATGCTTAAGAAATAGCCCTTTGACCCTGCACGTGGTGGCAGGTAAAGGCTTTTCCTGTTATCCCTGGTTTACTCCTAATTCAGAAAAGATGAGGGAAAAAAACAGAAGAAGTTTTCATTCCAGTTCCCCAGCATTTTATTCTGAAAGTCGTTGAACTGAAGAGAGAAACCATGACAGAGTGAAGTTGGTGAGAAATGTTGCATAATTAGTTATGAAAATAATGTTTGTTGCAGAACAAGCCTTTTTTGTTTATGTGGTCAAATTAATGAAATCGCAATTGGCAAAAATCACTATCGGCGAGTCATACCAAAAATAAAATATAAAGCATGACGACTTGCCTGCCTACCTGATCTATGTGTTCTATGCTGCCTCTAAACACAGTGGAATAGATACGTAGCACAAGACATGCAACAACATATGTAGTTACCCAGACAGCATCACATCCTCTCAGTCTGTTCTCCTCTCATTTCTGAGCATCCCTCTGCATTTCTCCCCATTCAGCCATGGGTTTTATAAACCATGTTGAGTGTTAAGCCATAAAGAAGCCATCTTACATATTGCACATCAATAAAAAGAATTCAGCTCTAGCACGGGGGTGGGGGGGGTTTATTGGCCTCTCACAGACACACACGCGCGCTGCAGAGCGGTCGGCCGTGCAGGATGGATACAAGCGCACCATATATCGTCATCTGTGCGTTTAATTGCCGTCTGGCTCAGAGTTGTTGTCTGTTTCGCATAGACAATCACTGAACTTTTATGTTTATGTTTTATATGTAAACAGTTCCTTTGCACACAGCGCCACGTTCAATCCTTAACGGTGTCACAAAAAATGTAATTGTTAAAAGCACAATAACGGTGACAGATTGACCGACTTACGTTTACGACTTAGTCACATTCCTGTGAAACTGCCGAATAAAATGTTTACCTCTGGGTTAGTGAGTTGATGTTACTTATTTATTACGTCGTCTGTCTGTGTATTCCTAATGGGGCCGAACAGAAGGAAACCAGGGGATTAATGCCATTAGACATAAAGCACTGGCACAGAGATAATACCGTTAGACGCTGCAGACATTTGTGGTTCCTCGAACAGATTAGATTCAGTACTAGCTCAATGCTGCGGTACATGAGAAGCTTACAGAGCTGGGGCTTGTTGTGAACAAATATTAGTCATTTATTTGTCATGTATATAAACCCTACAGTGGTTTAAATAAAATATTGTAGGTTTAAATAGGTTAAATATTTTGCCTCATAAGTTAGAAAACAGTGGAAAAAAACCAGATCTAAAAAACCAAATGTTCACGTAAATGTTGCCGTGAATTAGATTGGACAGCAAAAACCAAAGTCCTTTAAGCAACACCTTTTATTCTGAAAACAAGTTGTACACAGTCACAGGTTCCCGCTTCAGTTCAGCAACTTTCAAAATAAAGTGCTTGGTGACAGGAATGAGGGGCTAAAAGCATCCATTCCATCCATTGAAGCACAAACGGCTGAGAGGAGGTTTATGTGAGTGGTTGTTTTAGCTTCGTTTGACGCAATTCAAGGGTCTGTGAGTCACAGCTGATGGGTCTTACCTTTTTTCCTTTCATTGGATTGACATTTGAAAGAATTAGAGCTTTTGGTAAAAACTATTGGGGGGACACTGCCTTACTTGAGCTCAAGTGACTAAGAACACGTGAACAACACACACATACTGATATCCTTTTGCTATCTTTTGCATTTAAATTTTTACCAAACCCCCTCACAGGCTCATATTCATGCCTAATGCCTTCAAATTCAAACCCGCTGCCATATTTTGACACACATCCCACAGACTGATGACGGTTCTCTATTTTAAACGCCCTCTGCCTTTGTGTTTTCCAGATAACAGGTCAAACGATCTCACACTCACCGTGCAGATCCAGATAATCCTGGTCTCGCTCAAAACAATGTAACAGGGAGAAAAAATGGACCAAACTCTCAACCCTGCGAGTTAAACTTTTTGCCTGTACCGTGGACCGGCCTGAAACTGAGCTTGCAGGCAAGGTTAAAGAGGCATGGATGGAAAAAAATGTTTGCTCATGTTCCCAGCGAACCGTTCCACCGATGCACTTGGGCATGAAATTGCTCCCCTTTCTGCCCAAGCAGACTCCGAGCCCAAGCGCACCGGCCATATCTAGTCAGGCGAGTTGGCCTCGCCGCATCCGCCTCTGTGCAAACCGGTATCCTTTGTTTGCCCTTGGCTGCTCATTTGTTTGTCTGTTTGTTGATATGGTTATGTGTTTGTGGATCGTGGAGGTGCGGGATTGGCGAGAGCTGGGTGTCAGCTGGTCGGCTCCACTCCACTCCAAGTTTGCAGCAATTATTGGCTGCTCAGAGAACTGCTGCAGAATCACTTTATGATCGTAGACAGAAAAAAAGAAAACTATGAGAGAAGATGGTTCTTGAGATGCTGTCTCAAGATGCTGTGATTTAAAAAAAAAAAAAAAAAAAAAAGAAAAAGTTGATGGTGGCAATGATTGTGTTGATGACAGAGTCAGCTCTGCCTGAAAAGACCTCACTGTATAGTGATGCGAATATAATGATTTGTTTGCGTTTCTTTTTTTTTTTTCCTGTTTGTGTTGTGTGCCGCCGTACGTTTCCTTATATATGTTTCGT